TCTAACCCACTGAACCTCCTAATCCCTAAGCACATGTGTCCACAGGGCTATGACCAGGCTACACTTTTAGGGGGCAAATGGTCCTGGAGTCAGGAATTTGTTGAGAACTGGACATCTTGAGTGGATCCCCACCGACGTGGTGTGTCTTAGGTCTCCCGAAAGGGTCCTTCTCCCCACACGTACCTCTCCTCAGAGGTTTCTAAGGTTCTCCAAATGTTACCTGTAGCTACTTCTTTGGCCTAAGGTAGAATTTCCCAAACTTTCTCAGTTCATTCACATTTCTTTCTTTCATGGTTCTTATAGGGTGAAAGAAACATCTGACAGTTCTGTTTATTAAGTAGTAAAGTCCAAATAACTCAATTTGTAGTACTTTGGAAAGACTCTCATAGACGTCTCTGTGTTTTCCTCTAAAATTCAAAATATCCCACAGTACCCCTGTGAATTCACTATGGAAATCTTAGCATGTACTTGTCATTGTAGACTTAAGGTACACAAAGTCCTTATTAAGATATAAATGATCCTTATCTCTGCGAAAGCCAGATGCATCCTCTGGTTTGTTGGAGAGTTGCTCTGAGCTCACAGAGATGGGACACAGGGTGGTTATAATTGGATGGAGAGAAAAGGAGGTAAAGGTTGGGTTATGAAGTGCAATGGGAGTCAGATAGACCTGTGCAGGTGGTGGGGTGGGTGAGAAGGCTGCATTCAAGGAGGGAAAAAAGAGGGCACTGAGAACCCTGTGTGGAGAGACCTTAGGGCCACAAGAAGTGTAGGTAAGTAGGTCTGCAACGAAGTAGATGCAAATTACCTACCCCCTGGAGGGTCTGCATTCTTTTAAGCCACTAAATTTTGGCATAATTTGTTATGCAGCAGTAGCCACTTAGTCATCTTGCCCCACTCTCTCAGGTCAATTCTGACAATAGGCAGAAAAGGATTAAGTAGTTCTGGTCTACCACTGTGTAGTGGCTGATGGTCTGGCCCTGTAGATCCTGAAGAAAAGGGTTCTGTGTTCATCCCTGTAATAGTTATTGCCACATCCCTTGTCAGAGGGTTAGGTATATTTCATTCCACAAATATTTCCTAAGGACCTACTCTATGCTAGGACTGTGCTCAAATTAAATGATGTTGAAGGATCCTTGCTGTCAAGGACTGCAAGCTAGTGGAAATGACAAACAATAAACATATCAGTTGCAGTAAGGTCAATGAAGGAAAATAACCAGGTGTGTTTAGAAAGAATTAACAGAGATATAATTCAGATTGATGGAGAGTCAGGGCAGGGGTCTCTGAGAAAGTGGCATTGAAGTTGAGACTGGAAGGATGAGAAGGCATGAACCTTCTACTGGAAGAATCCAGGCAAGAGCAATGCCAGCATAGGAGATAGCACTTGTGAAGGCCGTGAAGCCCCCAAGAACTTGCTATGGATAATATACTCAAGTTGCTATGGATAATATACTTGCTGTGCATAGTGTAATATACTATGTGTGGCTGCCCAGGCTTGCTCAGAGCTGTAGGTGTGGTCCAGGTAGGACCCATCATGTCTCTTCCTGTTTGAACTAGTGCTAGCAGGGCAGGCTCTTCTCATGGTGCTGGCACAGGCCCAGCTGTGTGAGCCTGTGACAAGCCTCTGCTCATCTGCCTGCTAGCAGCCATCAGACAAAGCAGGTCACATGACCAAGGTCCACATTAATGGGGTGGGGCAGTCCACGGAGGTAAGGGAAAGGAATATGCTCACTCTTGGGGACAATCCTCTGCATCTGTAAACGCTCTGTATCAACTGTTGTAACTGTTGTCTGGGTTCTCCCTTTCCATCTGTGCCACCATGTTTGTAGATTGTACTGACACCACTAGACTGTTCTTCCTGACACTTCCATCTGGGTCGCGCCCCTCGCCTGGCCCCTGCAGCCATCCACAGTGGCCCATGGCAATGCCTTGTTCCCGTCTCCCTTCTCCTCGGTCTGCCCCACTCGGCGGCTTGTGCCAGCTGCGTCCTGCGAGGACGAGAAGGTCTGATGAAAATGTAGGTGCTGGTAAAAATCATTTCATGGAGATAGATTAAAATTAAATTGCCTAGGCTGATTAAAACACTAAAGAAGAATTGAATTGGAACAGGATAATACAACTCACTTATCTTATAGAGGTGCCACGAAAATTAGCTAGTCAGTATTCATGGTTTGAACACAAAAGAAAAATTGTTATTGATTTACATATAATGTCTCTTGTGTCTTCTAAAAGCCTCCTCCGCGAATACATACAGGGGGAGGCGGCACCAAAAGTTAACTTTAGGAGCCATCCATCGTGCCTCTATTTTTTTTGCCATCAAAGAATAACATCAGTGGCAAAGACAGCAATGCTTCTCTCGGCAGCAGGACGGGAGCGAGCAGAGAAAGCTGGCTCTGGACCTAGACATTGTTTTTTTTAACATTTCAAATTTATTGTTCATTATTGTGAAAAGCACCCTGAAGCTGCCCAGGAAATAGAAATTGAGCTAGAACTTAATAAAGAGATGGTCAGTCACCCTGGCCAGTTTGTCTCAGCGGTTAGAGCGTTGGCCCGCAGACCAGCGAGTCCCGGGTTCGGTTCCCGCTAAGGGCACGTACCTCGATTGCAGTTTGTCCCCGGGCCCCGGTTGGGGTCCTGTGGGTGGCAACTGGTTGATGTGTCTCTCTCACATCGATATTTCTCTCTCTCTCTCTTCCTCCCTCTCTCCCTCTTGCTCTATCTGAGGATAAAGGCAAAAATATCCTTGGGTGAGGATAAAAAAAAAAAAGAGAGAGATGGCGAGTCTTCTTCCAACAGAAATGAAGAGATCAGTTTCAAAGATGACCCTGAATTAATAATCCTCATTTATAATAAAAGAAAATGTACAGTATTGAAGAGATTTTTTCCCCTTAGTCAAAGGGGCCTAATTCAGTGTGATACTTACTTTGATTTTATTTTTAAAAGTATGTTTTTATTAATTTTATGGAGAGAGGAAGGAAGAAGGAGAGAGAGAGAAACATCGATTGTTTGCCTCCCAACTGGGGACGGAACCAGCAACGGGCATATGCTGACTGGGAATTGAACTGGTGACCTTCAGCCAGACCAGCCGGGGCCCATTGTGATACTTAGTTTTATAGCCAGATGAGTGCAGTTTGAACTTGAGATACAGTCAGATCAATTGAATCTTTGCTAGGGCCTTAATCAACATAAAGACAATAATTTTTTTTTTATCCTCACCAGAGGTCTTTTTTTTTTGCATTTATCTTCAGATAGAGTGGGAGGGAGAAAGGGAGGAAAAGAGAGAGATATCAATGTGAGAGAGGCACATCAAGTGGTTGCCACCCACACGACCCCAACTGGGGCTGGGGATAAACTGCAACCAAGGTCCATACCCTTAGCGGGAACCGAACCTGGGACCCTCTGGTCCGCGGGCCGACACTCTAGGCGCTGAGCCAAACCGGCCCGGGCAACAATTAATAATTTTTACCTAATTATATAAATTGCCTTTTTAAAGTGACATGTGATTGGCATTTTAAATTGCTTGTTTGCTATTTAAATATAAACTTTTCCTGCCTCAGTTTCTAAAGAAAGGGTCTTTTTATTTAGCACTTGATGGGTTCTTCACGAGGAAAAGTGCTGGGTGATGTACCTGGTAGACAAGCCTGTTAATCTATTAAAATTGCAAAGGTAACTTCCTATCATTATTCTTTCTCAACTGTTTACTTTCCTAAATTCCCAAAGAAATCTTTCCTTCTTGAAAATATTTTAAAAATAAATTATATTGTTGTAAAGTATTATAGTTTGTCTCATTTATAGGAAATGTAATAAACTGACTTGTTTCACTAATAAAATCTTCTATGTACTATTTGGTTTTCTTGTAAGAATTGAATTTTTAAAAAATATGTTTTTATAAAAAAAATCTTCACTCAAGGATACTTTTTTTTTTTTTTTTTAATTGATTTTAGAGAGAGAAGAAGGGGCGGGGAGAGAAACATCAATCTGTCGCCTCCCATGTGCCCTGACCGTGTATTGAACCTGTGCCCTTTGGTGTATGAGATGACGCTCCCACCAACCACAGCCACCCAGTCATGACAAGAATTGATTTTTGATACTTCAAAGATACAGTGCCTTATTTGAAGCCAAAGAACAATATTTGTTCAATAACATTGCACAGATACAAAACATTGAAATCTCCGTTATTGAATAAATATTTATTGAGATACTACCGTGTGCCAGAATACTCTTAATTGACTACAGTTTCCCATCAGGGGATCCTGGTATATTTATAAACCTTTAAGCACTGGTGGAAAAGGATCTGTACTTCAGAATACCATTGTTAATACACGTTAGTCATTTTAAGAAAAGCAGAATTGAAATGGAGTCTCTTTCCAGTGCAAAAATAAACATCAGTTGTAAAATTTGGTACAGAGAATAGCTCTGTATGTTGGCTTGCCTATTAATTTGCTTTGGAAAGCTTAGGACTATATCCCCTGTAAGATTCTGTAGCATTTATATATGTGTGATAAATACCTTGCTTTAAAAAGATCTTTGAGTGTAACAGCAGTGTTTAATTCAATCAATATTTAATATTTATTAAATGTCTATCATGGGGCAGGCACTGTTCTCACTTTTCAAAGTGTAGAAGATACAGTCATGCCCTGGCCGATTTGGCTCAGAGGTTAGAGCATCGGCCCGTGGACTAAAGAAGATACAGTCATTAACAAGATAAACAAAGTCCTGCTCTCACGGAGGAAGTAAACAAGTAAGAAAGATGATTTCAGCTCATGGGTGTTATTCAGAAAGGAACTAGACTGATATGGTAAACATGTAATAAAAAGGGGTGCTATTTTAGCTGCAGTGATCTGGACAGGCCTGGGGGTCGACACTGAGCTGAGAACTGGGTGGGAAAAAAGGCAGCAGAGTAAAGATCTTGTAGCTGTGTATTGCAGAGAACGTTAGCCCCTCAGGCTGGAACAAGCTTTGGAGAGTGTTGGGTATTTTATGTTTATTTTATTGTTGTTGTTTTTTATAGCCATTTTCAGGGACCTTAATGACTTCAATGTCTTTAAGGCTCGTAACATGGCTTTACTATTGCCAGCTTTCTCTAAATTTTTGTGGAAACACACTCAGGTAAGCAGACTCACTGGCTGGTTTTGGACCTGGACGTTTTAAAGAATTGCAGAACAGATCATAAGTCACCATTGCGTTCATGAAGTATGGCTCATTAGCTTTTGAAGAAAAACTTCAAGGGGCATCCGTTTTCCCTTCCCTTTACCATGACCATTTACCACGAGAGACCATTTCGGAGCCAGTTATGCCTGTTCTCCAGCCTGATCGTTCTGAGTCTGCTTGGCTGGACGGCCTGCTTGGCTGGACGGCCTGCTTGGCTGGACGGCCTTCTTCCCCCTGCCAACCTGTGCTCCTCCATCTCATAGCTTCTTAGCCCTACATCTGAGGGCGCAGGAGGAACGAAGAGGAAGGACTCAAGCCAGTTCACGGTGCATCTTGTGGTGCTGCTGGTAGGAGGTTTGCTGGGAAGGGAGACAGGTTTGAGGGTGCCGGGCTGTGGTGCTATTCGGGCAGAACCTCCTTCCCCTCAGGCTTGCCTTAGCCCAGTCTATTGGGGCTTTCCAGAGGGGCTTGGCCTTTTCCAGAGTCCAATGACATCATGCTGTAATGACAACGGTCAAATTATTAGGGATGTGTTCAGTGAAAGGTGCCAGGCCCAGAGCAGCGCACTCCAGGTGAAGTATACGGTACCGAGCTGGCACGAACTTGCCCAAAGGCTCGGCTCAGAGCAGCGGTGGAAGCTGTAGAGAAGAGCAGCCTGTTCTCCACTACCAGCAACTCCATCACCTCTGGGGCTGCCACACTGACCCCTCCTCTCCCTGAGGCACAGAAGCCTGTGTGGCAGTCACATGGCGAGGGGGTCACCACGGGGCTCCCTCCCAGTCACTTCCTACCGGCTTGTTCATGTGATTTCCCCACACATCATGGCAGAGCCTCTGCGGGTCCCTTCCCCAACCCTCAGATTGCAAAAACGGCCCAGTGAGGTAACGTACAACACCCTGGTTAGTCACATGGTTTTAGATCCACACGACCTGGGCTTCGTTCCTACCTCTACTGTGACCCTTATCTCCCCTGTGACCTTGGGAAGTCACTTACCTCCTCTGTGCCTCAGTTAGTTGAACCTCATCACATCCGCTTTCTAGAATTGCTATGAAGGTCAAATGTATGTACAACAGTTGTCAAGCACTTGGTAAATGCTCAATAAATGCTAGCTGTTATTTACTACATTCTTGTCATTCTCCTGGGACTATGGGCCATGAAAAAGCCTGGGCTCAGAGAAATTTAGGGGTCTTCAGCAGCCCTACATTCTTCTGGGCTGCTCTAACTATTAACACTATTTCAGGCACATTACCGGTTAAATGGATTTTGGTGCCCGGACTTGGGAGCCTTGTCATCATTTGTAGATGTGCTCTGAGTTCCAAGCAACTGACTTTCAAAAGCCCCTTTGGAAAGCTCAGGTACTGGAATGAGCTGAGTGGACTGCAGACAGGATAGGAGAGGTGCTCCTTTCCCGCGCGAGTGATGAGCCAGCAAGGTCCTGCTTGCCCTGGGAGAGGGGCTTTCTCAGCGCATGGAGGCCCCAACATAGTGGGCTCCACGTGGGGTCAAGAAACAAGAGGAAAGGGAAGCCGTTCCCTGGAATAGCACCCATTGGGCAGGGCCCATCCAACTGGTTGAGGACTCTGCACTCTATCTTGATTATAGAAAGAGTAAGTCTCTGCTGCCATTTGTTTTAAACACTGGTTAGGCTGAATGGTATAATCGTGCCTTGGGGGAACCCTCAGTGTAGAAATCAAGAGCAAGGCAAAGCTTTTGGAATTAGGGAGCCCTGGGTCAAAGCCAAGCTTGGCTGCTCTGTTGGCTGTGTGATTCAAGAGCCTTCATTTCCCCCTTTGTGAAACAGGAAGCGTGGTACCCACCTCACAGGGGGTTAGAAGTAGGTAATGGGTATAAATCACGTTTAGCACAATGCCTGGCATGCAGGCAGCTTTTAAATCATTGTAGCGATTACTATTTCTCTTCTCTCTTTTTCTCTAAAGTTGCAAGGTCTCTGTTGATAAGACTTTTGAGACAAAGTGGAAAAGGGATAGGGAAGACAGAGAAAGGAGTCCCTGCCCGCCGCCTGCCCAGGACTGTGGTGCCGGGACAGTGAGGTGAAGCTGTTACAGAACAGCAGGCGTTCATCCAAGCAGAGCTAGCAGAGCCGAACACCGGCCACCGAGGACTGCAGTGGAGAAGTATTGGCTCTTTTATTATGAATGGTGCCATCCAGGAGAACGGGATGCCAATGCTCAAAAGCTGGAACTCTCCAGTGGCATGTAGGTTACAGATTATGTGGGGCGAAATCATAAGACATCATGGGTTAGGGGTTCAGGGTCGTGCTGGGAGCTGATTGGCTGGAGGTGAGGTGAGGTAAGGATAATAAATCATTTCTTCAGGTCCTGAGGACAGCTCTGAGGTCTGTTCTGGTTTCATGGGAAAGTAGCCAGGGGATGGTTCCACCTCAGGGCTCAGGAGCTGAAACATAACTTGGGTGAGGATGTCATCTTTAGCCTGCCAAGGGTCCCAACCCTGTGACCCAGTCAGGTTTGGGCTACTGTCTTCTGCTGCCTTGGGGGTAGTTGATTATCCAGGAGGAAAGCTAGGTCTCTGAGGGGTGTAGATAGAAGGAGAGAGAGAGTATTTCTAGAGCAAGGATTTAAAACAAAATTTAATCAAAGTTAAAAGGGCTCTTGGTTCCAAAGCAAAGCTATCACAGACAAACAAGTGAGTACGTGCAATAGAAGGGGGTCTCCTTCCCGCAGCTGGGTGGGTTTCCGAGGTAGACCCCTGGCTGCTAAGAGCTTAACAAGGTTCTGGATCAGCACCAATATCTGTCCATAACAAAACTAAGGGGATTTTTTCTCTCACATTTTTGCCTTGGAAGTATGCACCGTTGATGGATATGTGTTTTCTAATTTACGAAAATAAAGATATGACCAGCGGTTCTTCCAGCTTCAAAGTAGTGAGCAGGCAGCTGGGCTATGTGTTCAGCACACTCAAGTGTGGCACTGTCACAGTGGTAAAGGCCTCACTATTCCAACAAAACAATGCATGAACTTATTCTAACCCGTTTAATAATTTGCACACTAGCTGCTTTGCTATATGGTAGTGAAGTACATACATATGGTAACCTGTTCATAAAAATGACCATACACTCCATGATTTCCCTACTGACCACTCATATTTTCCATTGTCTCTTTGCTAGTTGTTTAGTATCTCTCTGTTCAGTATCACCGTTGATGCATTCTCCCACATTGTACTAGCCATGTCTCCTGCTACTATTGCTGCTCTTCTTTCTTCCCCCTCCCAGGGGACAATCCTTGTCCCCCAGCCTTCCTGGGGCTTTGAGTCTCAGCAGCCCTTCCAGATCGGCTGTCTGGGAGTTCGAAGGCTGGAGTTTGCAGGAATTGGGCTTCAGATGAACCACGGTGGGCGCCATGTGGAGGCAAAGCAAGCGTGGGATGGAAGGCCTGGAGCACTGGCTTCCAGGGCCTGGCCGTCTGGGGACTGAAGGAATGGGAGGGATCCCTGTTAGAGAAGGGACAGGAAGGCTTAGACAGTTTACTGTCTCAGAGACTCCAGACCTTGACATGAGCAGAGCAGTTTCACCACTTAGTGGTTTTCTCTAAGCTGCAGTTGTCTCGTCCGCCTTGTGAGGACAACAATCTCTACCCCATGGTGTTGTAAGAACGAAATTAGAGCATGTATATAGAGTACTCTGTACAGTGACTGGCATATTGTAAATGCTAGTGACTGGCACCTTTTTTTTTTTTTTTAATGAGATAGTGCTCTAACCCCTGAACTACGGAGCCTCCTGTGTTTTTTTTTTAAATGGTGTTCTCTTGTCCTACCAAACAGGGCATATAAGCCCATCAGTGGAAATTAAGACTCTGGCTAGAAAGAACAACAACGATTATATAGATTTGTTACCTTAAAACCAAAGAACTTACATGCATATAGACACAAGCAATCTACACGGACAGGCAGGAGGGGGTGGGAGTGGGAAGGAGGGGGTCCATGGGGAAAAATGGGGGACATCTGTAATTCTTTCAACAATAAAAAAGTAAATAAATAAAAGAGACAAATTTATACAGCATATATGCCCTTACAGCTGGAATTTGGAACCAACGCTTCCAATCCATGGGTTCTTTTCCTTCTTCCTGGCAAAACTATATTCTAAACATTTTCACATGCTCATCAAATTACTTGTTAGCAATGCCCTGTTTAATCAACAGAATCAGTGAAGTGGTATTCAAGTTCAGCTTACTTTAATAGCTCGTGGCAATATTTTGGGGTCTGTCATTCTCTTTTATTGTTTCTGTAGGTAAATCGGCGTTAAAGCGAAAGACAAAAAGGTGGTTTTTCATCTCTGTGTTTTTTTTTTTTTTAAAACAGGTGGTTCTCAAAGGTGCATCAGAGGCAACTGGCGGACTTGACACACAAGACGGCTGGGTCCCACCCCCAGAGATTCCGGACCACACGTGGGCACCGCTGCTTTAAGCCAAGGCTGATCTCTGCACTTTCAGCTGTGGTGGGAATGGGGCTGAAGATCCCTATTTGGCTTCAATGAACTTTTTTTTTTTTTCCTTTACTGATTTTAGAGAGAGAGGAAGGGAGAGGGAGAGATAGAAATATTGATGAGAGAGAACATGGATTGGCCACCTCCTGCATGCCCCCCACTGGGGATTTGGCCCACAACCCGGGCATGTGCCCTGACCGGGAATCGAACCGGCAACCTCTTGGTGCATGGGTCGATGCTCAACCACTGAGCCACACCTGCCAGACTTTAATGAACTCTGTAGATTTTTTTTTCAGTTGGCTAAGCAATAGTTTACAGACACTTTATGTTAAAAAATTTTTTTCTGACTCCAAGAGAAATTACTAGCCCAGAAGTACAGGAAATAACAGGCCACTGACCATATTTTGGGGGCAAGTATAAAAAATTGGTGTCTGTGTTAGACACAGATTAAGAGCTTGGGTTTTGGAATTGGGACGATAAGGAACGAGACCTCGCTCTGCCACTTTCTGCCTCCCTAAACTCT